ACAGCAGGCTGATGAAGCTGACATGATCACAACCGGCTGGTGTGGGGACTGGCTGCCGATTTATAGTGGACCAGAGAGGCTGACGTTGTAGCAGCGGACTGGGGCAGTAATTGGCTGCCAGCCTATAGCAATCTGGCATGGCTGTAGAACCCACCGCAGAGCCCAGGCACCTACTGCTAGATGATGAAGCAGTTGCTTCAGGAGTAGGATGCCTACTGGAGTAGTGGCTGGCACTGGCGTAATAGTCGCTGGCTGCCGACTATGGTAGATGACACTAGGTAAGCGTTCATTGTCCGAGGTTTAGACTGGTTATGGGATCTGAAAAGGGTGTGCTATCACTTCTGGAGAGGAGAGAGGCCAGAGGACTGAGAGATCAATGATGGAGCACCCCTTCAGAGGCAATCCAGGAATACATAAGGGATGAGTTTGATGTAATAATTGGGTGCCAGATTCATGTTGTAAATGGACGGGAAAAAACACGTCCTTGAGCCTGGTGATGACAGTGATTCCTTGAGGGAATGCTCTGAGTCTTCTGGAGTAACAGCAGGCATTAACCCATGGCATACATCCATTAGCCTCCAGAATGGATCAGTCTGGAAAACATATTGTGAAAATTTCTACCGACAGATCCCAGACACAGAAGCATTAGACCAGAACAATGTATATGAAAACCTGAAAATATTCAAACTGGCTATAAAAGACAACCCAACCCCTTTATTCTAATTATCCATTAGATTTGCCTTTTCTGTTACATTTAAGTTACTACCCAGAGAACTGAGTTAAGAAAAAGCCAGTCTGAGACAACTTGTAGAATGCATATGTACTTTATCACAATGACTTGGAAAGGAAATGTTAATGAAGCCCATGCCTCAAAGGTAGTGCTGATCGCTGTCACTATCGCTCGCGCTGAAACCCTGAACAAAATATTTCATATTCACAGGCAGTGAAAATAACACTTTTCTAAACACTTTTTTTTAAACTGTGTGACTGAAACAAATAAATGGGGAACTGGGATTACTGACCGGCACTACCTATGACAATTGTGCTTGAGAGTCAGATGTGGCGAATTACTAAGTGATCAAGGTGCAAAGTGAAAAGCAGCTCACCATATTTTGTATTTTAGCATACATTTTAGCATTTTTAACTGCGAAACGGAATCAATTTAAGGCACGTCACTTAACAAAAACATAATTTGAAAACGAGCCTAGGAATGTGGGATAACCTCCTTCAGCACTAATCTGGAAAAAAATATATAGATTCCAATTCATTGCCACTTGTATGAACCTTTTTAATCAAAGGTTGGCCACTATATTACTGGTCCACATAAAGCTAATGCTTGCTTGTAGTAGAGATTTCTGGTCAAACAATTCAAAACTTGCCATAGGCATGTGACAGCAGGCCCCACCTGTTTGGAATTTGCACCAACTTTGCCATGAGGGGGCGTATACCATGTGCTTGACTTCGGTAAAGTGGAATCTCTAAGGCAGGAACTGCAGTCTTGGACATCTTCTGTAGGAGGCTTTACCCTGTGTAAGTGCCAAAAAACAGCTACTGTATCTATACGGGGTAGGTTAAAAAGTGTGTTCAATTCTCATGTGGCAGCCTTATAATCTTTCTGATATCTCCTAAGAAGTCTAATAAAATGGTCTGCACCAAACATGTCTTTATGGAAGTGCTTATAGGGGAGGATGCGAGTCTTAACCTTTTCTAGCATGTAATCCCTAGGGAAGTATTAAAAGAGAAACATACTTCACTACAACAGAAGGTTGTGCTTTTTCCATGAAAAATAGAATACAATAAAAGCAAAGTGAAGGAAAAAAGTGAATACACTTTAGGTTTCTGAGGACTATAGTTAAATCCCAACTCAACATCCTCTGTTGGGTGACTATAAACAATTGTAGTTTCTGTTAAGACTACAATCCTTTCTTTAACCCACCTGTTCTGGGAATTGCTTCAATAGCATCCAACAGCTCTAAACAGACATTAGACAATAGCTTCCCCCTTTTTAGTTTCACTTTTCTGTAATCTGCAATACTGAAGCTAGATGGAGCCAAAGGAAAACTACCTAACTGATGCTGTTGCCACACGGCTTACATACTGTATATAAGAGTTGAAGAAGTAAAAAGAACAGGATATTTTAAGTATAATTACAAGTGTGATCACACCAGTCCAGTGACAACATTCCAAAGTTAATTTTCCAGGTATGAAATAGTTTAGGGCAGCATGGTGGTGTAGTGGTTAGTATTGCTACTTCACAGCACTGGGGCCCTGGGTTCTATTCTGGACCTGGGGTGCTATCCGAGTGGAGTTTGTATGTTCTTCCCATGTTGGTGTGGGTTTCCTTTGCTTTCTTAATTCCAAAAACATGCTAATACTGTAGCTTAACTGGCTTTTGAGAACACCGGCCAGGGTGTGTGTGCAGATAGATCTGTCTCTGTCCTGCGATCGCCTGGTATCCCCTCAAGGGCGTTACCTGCCTTGCACCTGTTGCTTGCTAGAGTGGGCCACAGCTCGCCCCGACCCTGATTTGGAAGAAATGGTTAGAAAAAGGATGGCTGAATTAGTTTAGAATAGATTCTTAAATGACCTTCAGGACTAGGGATCTAGGCTGATCATTCCATTTAATCATTAATATGACACTCGTAAAAAAAAAAAGATAATATACAGTAGTTTAATCCTTTTACCATCGCACTTAGGATTTTCTGTGAAGTCTGTTCTGGTAGTTCCTGTTATATAACTGAAACTGAAAGTATAGCAAGTTAAGATATTCAGTCGTCAATATATAATGTAGAAATACAACCCAAGTACGTCAGCAGCTCACACATTGAGGTCTTTGCAGGGTTAAATCAGAGGACAAACACTTAAAATGTTGACATGCCAAAAAATTTTGATTATTTTTTAATTTCTTCTCTGGAACTGTTGCGTGTTGTAATAGTCTATATTTAGTCAGAAGACTGTAAGTGTGAGGACTATGCCAAGACAGACAGGAACAACCCAGCAGCAGCAGCTGATATGTTGGGCCATTAACTGCAGGTTTCTTTAAATGGTTAGACTGAAATAGAAGGGCCAGACATGCTTGCAGAAGCAAATGGTTCTCGGGAAGAATATAAAATATCCTTAAATAAGACTTAAGAAAGAAGGGATAAGAGTTAATAAAAAGACTACCCTAAAGTCTGTTCAATTCTGCCTAATCAGCAGTCAACATGTCTAACATGTACCAGTAACATCTTTTTTAAGAGATCTTTGAGAAGTTGGGATGATGAGCAGAGCTGCAGCTCAAAAACCAGGAAAAAACATGAGAAAGAACTAAGACTGGGCATCAAAGGTAAAATATTGCAAACACAGCAGGGGTGTCTTATGAGCAGATGAAAACATTTGAATTTCAGGCTGCTAGAGGTAGCTGTATGTGACAATTGGCAAGAGGCTGTCAAAATGTCAGTTGTAGAAGTAAAACATGTAACTATTTTTGTGCACAGACAGGAAATATAAACCAACAGATACAGAGTTCACCTCATTCTTCATTGTCATGAAAGTGTGAAAAAAGCTCCCCATGTGGTGGAAGTGGTGTTTTTTTTACCATGAAAATGACACTAAAGCTAAGAGAGGCTTTTACTAAATCGCTTGAAAAAAAAGAACAACACGTTTATGTTGAGAGCATTGTACATGAGAATGCTTTGGGACACAATCTGGACTGTACAGAAAATAATGATGCAACTGTGAAAGTACAATGTACAGAACATGTGTAAAACTAACAAAGGAGAGAAACACTTGCATTTTGAGAGATGTGCATTTCAAAGCAAATTAGGGCATAATGGAACAAGTAGAGTTCAAGTTTAATTCCATGCTGAAATGTGAAAAGAAAACATGTTGGCCATTTCACAGAATAAGAGTAGAAATGAGAGTACTGCTCCCCCCTCCAAACTCTCTACATAAAAGCATGCAAATCCCAACATCTACTCATTTTGTAAAGCAACTTTATTATAGAAAAATACTGCATTTCAGCAAAGGTGCATTTCCTATTGTTTTTTGTGCATTTTGTAATGCAATTACACATTAATTAAAAAATGAATAAAAATAAAGACTAATGAATATCCTCAGTATTTAAAACTTCAATTTTAGACATTAAAATTACATGGACTTATTTTGCTAACAACAAAACATGCCATTCTGAATAAGCTCTTATGATGCTTCAAAGAATGAACTGCATGGTTTTTGATGAGAAACAGATCTACATTAAGCTTGTCTTGTTGATTCCCTGCTCCCTCTTCATTAGATTTATAAGGATGCACATCTCTAAGGACTTGAACTGAATTTGATACAGCTTCAAAGCTGCTACTGTTTGTGCCCTTGACTTTCATTATGTGACCTATTTTCTTATTATTTTCTCCACCTTTGTTAGAAGACATCTGAGAAAGAAAAAAAATATTGACTTTGTTGCATCTTTTTTAAGCAATCACCTGAAGTGTAAAGAGCTGTTTTTCAATGCACTATTTTGCACAGGAGGGAAATCTAAGAGCCTTGGATATCCTAGTTTGGTACTTCAGTAAGTCTGGATGGGTCAGCACAGTGACCAAAGAGTAGGACCCAGGCTTGATTCATCTCACTATATTAGACTGACATTTGTAGAACAAATACTTGATGTGGTCAGAGCAGGTGTTTCTCCATTTCAAAAGCATCAGCCTAATTGGTAAATGAGAAAAAAATCAGTGTGAGCTAAAAATACTGAAGGATACTTACAGTACACCTTGTCAGATGTACATACCTGTAGTGTGCAGCACTAAACATGCACTTAAAATAAAAAGAGGAAAGAAGAAAATAAAGTGGCTGCTTTCATTAAAATCACATTAATAACCAAAGAACTGCACCAGTAAATTATGACATTGTTGACTTCATTTTCAGAGTAAAATTCTAAATAAAAAAAATCATAAATGACTGAAAACTTTATTAGAAAACATCTGCAAGCCACTGAGCAAGTCTTTTAGATAAAGATGGAAAAAGAATGAAAGTTGAATGAATGAGAATTCTTTTAATCTTATTTTACATTCATAGCAGAATAGTTTAAGAATTAATGGCAAGAAATAAAGTGAAGCTGAAGCCAATGTTTAGATTAATACATCACAATTAAGGAACAAAAGGCTATTCCCTTCTGTAAATACCCATTCGTTTAATTTTCCTCACTACTTTATAAAAAAAGCAGATTAAGGCATCTTTACAAGAACCTGAAAACACCTAATATGCAGATATTGAGGCAACACTACTGTAATTATTACTGATTTGTGGATTAAGCTCAACATATTTGATTAAGCAATTAAGAACTTTTTAACATTCTAGAAACATACATTCAATTTTACTGTAAAAAAGGAAAATACAATCCAGAAACATTAAAAATCTTTTTTTATATATGTATAAAAGTTTTTACATATACCCATTTCACTTTCCCATTGTAAATATACCACAAGGTATATACAGTAGCTGGTTATCCAAAAATTCACATTATACCTGACTTGGGGCTCAACTTACAAAGTCACTCATTCAGAGTACAGGTCCATCCAGACATCATGGATTTAGTTCTGGGTTATAAGCCAACATTAAACTTTTCCCTTTAAATGACACACAAATGGCTCAAGCCTGGTTTGAGTGGGCCTGATTATTAGCCAAAAGATCCACACCAGGCCCTTCCCTAGTGACACCTGGGACTTGCCAAGCATCTGTATGTTTGCAGTGAGAGCTGCATCATTCCTCCAGAGCATGGTCACTACACTGTAGACACTGTGCATGTTCTGAGCTTTTTAAGTACCGCTTAGAATGTCAAGTGTCTCTATTAAATGCCAGATCCAGAAAGCAAAGTATTCTTCTTAATAAACTGAATGCCTATGTACAGGAGATAATGTGGTGTTATGCATCATCAGCTGTATCTGCTGCTAGCACTGCGACTCCGATGGCGTGAGTAACTGCGATCACTTCTACTGTAGGAACGGTATGACCTGCAGAAGGGAAAAAAAAAGATTTCTAGAATGTAATATTGTGCATGTATATGTATATTTTACCATGAAATATCAAAAATGAGATATGGATGCGTTTATGGGAAAAAAATACCTGTTACTATACTTATTTATGAGACATAGGTTTTAATTCTTACTACTGCTGCTGAATGTAGGAAATGCCATTGTGGTTAAAAATAAGGAATGTGATCATTCACATGTCTCTACGTATTTGAGAAAATGTTATTTTACTGAGAAAATACACTCAAGAAAAGCCATGGCCAAAGATATTTGAAAATTTTACTTAAGACTCTGAATACTTTCTTTGAATATAGCAAATCTTATGCTCGTAAATGTGGCATACCTATATTAGCTTGTGAAATTTATTCGGATTACCAATATCTCTTTCATAGTTATAAAAACGGAAAACCATGAAGATTACGTATGATATAATTAATAATATGATAAAGTTCTTAAATTAGAGACACCATGAATTTTCTCATATAAATTAACACTGAAAAATACACCGTACAATATGACATCACAAAAATATATGAAAAGGGCAGCTTATTCTTTGTTAAAAAGTGTGAATACGTTTATTCTGGAATAAATTTAAATCCAAAATGTAAAATCCCAGAAAAAATGTAAAAACAATGTTTGAAAACAATCACTTATTTCCTTATACAAAAACACATATACACAAGATTACTTCAGGCATAATAAACAACAGAAATGTGATAATACTGTAAGGAATAAAAGAGATTTTAATTTGCCCAAAACTCTGTTAGGGTAGCTAACAAAATTCACAGGTTTATGTACCTGGATCTGCGGTCATAGCTTCTTGACTTCCTGTAACTGTAACTTCTCCTTCTCCTACTGCTCCAGCTACTTCGGCTATAGTCACTGTCATACGAGTGTGACCTGATTGAATACATATTCAGCGAACAAAACATATTTAAGATGTAAGATACCCTCACCAGAGATGAAAACAATGTGATAAAACTGAATATAGAATTCACTTATGTTGAGTTTCCTGACTGGAAACAATCTGGACATTCCTATGTATGCATGGAATTACTCAAATATAAAATGTATTATATTGTACATACCATACCACTCATTAATTCATGATCTGAGTCACATTGAACATAAATGTGTAACATGATAAACATAAACCAAAATCATAACTTTATCTCATGAGAAATACCACAAAATGATTTTAGTAGAAAACGTTTTAAGAAATATATTTATATATATTCACAATTATATGACATCAGATTATGGATAATTCCAAATGTAAAATAAACTGTTTTCTCCCAAAAATGCTTTTTTAGTCCATCTACCATTATATCAAAATAATATATTTTTTTACAAGTTATATATGTCAGTATTTCAGTATTACATACCTGGACCTTCTACGTTGATCATATGACCTGCTTCTGGAATGACTCCTACTTGAAGTCCTGCTGCTGACACAAAAAGAAAAATAAATATAAATTACACACGTTAGATTATACAAGGCTTCAAAATTCACATGGTTTCAATTTTGTTCTTTTGAAAATGCAGTGTATTCCAGAAGCACACAGCACAAGAGGAACTACATTCTAGACAGGATGCTAGTCTATCACAGGGAGTGCTTGCACAGACGTTATACCAATTGCTTGCCAGCAATTATTTGAAACGGGGGATAGATATTCCAGACTGGAATAAAACTGACATCTGTGAGGCAGCAGTGATAACCTGTACTCTACTGTGCTGCACACAGATTGAACTGGTTTCTAGTATTGTAGAGCTAGCCACTGCATTGATATTGTAACAATTTTATCTGCAACATATAACGACCAGAAGTATACCTGACACTTCTGTCTGGTAAATGATTGAGTCTGCAACTGCTTTTTAAATTATATTGGGCACCTTATCAAGGTTTAATACTAACACAGTAAAAAAAAAAATATTTTACAAATGTAACTAGCAAACAGTAGTGCACATGGTTTAAATATAAAATTTGGCTGGTTAAAAAATGTTTAAGGAGATCTTTCTAACCTCATGTGAGACACTACTGTTGACCTTGAGCAAGGTGCTTCACTTAAATTGTTCCTGTAAATGATCTCCTGTATAAATGATCTGTATTAATCAGAATTTTTCAGTTGACTATTTGGTCAAGTTGTAAAACAATGGAATTGCCAAAAAAAATATTAATTTAAATTACAGCACAATAAGCTGATATAACAATGTGCAAAAATAATGTTAGTGTTTAAAAAGGTACTGAATATTTTTAACAACATTTTATTATTTTCGATATTACAATTAATTATTTTTATTCTATAACATCATTTAAAAATGCCTTCAGACTGTATGAAAAGAAAATTTCACCTGTGACTTCGATAACTCCTGTAGGTGCTGCTCCGTGTCAGGGATCGATCTCTGCTGTACCGTCTCCTACTACGACTTCTGCTGTAGCTTCTGGATCTATAAATAATAGAGATTTGTTAATCAGTCTTCCTAGTGATCCATGTACACATCCTCCACACAGGTCAAAGCTGTCAAGCTGAGGAGCACTAATGAAAGAGAAACAGCTGTCCATGTCTACCAGCTTTGACTTAATATGTGCAAAAGGTGGAATGAGTCTCCTGTAGCATTGTGATTGGACAAAACTGATCAACTACTGCTCTGAAAACCCACCTCGATTTTGAACGTTCTTTTCATTTCTGACAAGACATTTTTTGGGGTTCCTTATTAAATCAAAGAAGCAAAAACACAACTTCAAGACAACAGTCATTAAATAATATATAGTTCTACCAATGTTACAAATGTAATCAAGTGAAATAAAGAAATTAAAACGTTAATTTGATACAAATGCAATTTAAAGTATTGGTTTTATGTGTGGTAAGGTAGAATACAATAAATATTTACTGTACTACCAATTTTTACAATTGATCTTGGTGAACACCTTTGTAAAATCTTTAAAGTCCTTCTATGATATTAAACGGTAACATTCTTCAATCATGCATACAGTAATTATAAAAAGAAAATTACTGAATGAAAATATGAAGAAATAACTAATACATTATTTTAATAAAAAAAAATGCACTGTACAACAGCATAACCAACCTGTAGGAATAACTGGAACTTCTTGATCTTGTACGTGAACGGCTGTAGGAAAGGGATCTCGTCCTTGATCTTGTTCTTTGACTCGATACAGATCTGGATTTACTGAGAGATCTGGTCCGACTCCGTGACTTACTCTTGTTACCAACAGATGGGGATCTCTCCTCACTTGAGCTCTCTTGGTTCCTCGGTCTTTGATTCAGTCTGGCTGTCTTCCGTACTTCATCAAACAGAGATCCAGGCCGAACCCGACTCTTGCTTTTAATCTCTATCCTGAGACCATGAGGTTTAAATTCCCCTAATTCTGGGTGATCAAGGGTTTTAATTTCACCAAAAGCCATGGTGCTGACTGACTGCTGATTAGATATTCCCATAAGAGGCTTCCATTTAGGATCAATAACTACTCCTGGAACCTCATTTTTGACATTTTCTTCCTCTGGACCATTATTTACCAACAAAGTGGAAGGTGGCATGCTGTGCCTCTGTTGCATTTTAGGTTTTTCTACAGGAGTTGTTTTTAAACTATACTCACTTTCTGTATTAATCTTGCTAGACTCACTATTTTGACATGCAATTTCTGACATCTCTGAAATCCCACAAATAATTGATATCTGATGGTCCCTTTCTGGAGTATTGGGTTCAGGTGTACAGATCTCCATAGTGTCATCTGATGAGTCTGGCTTCTCTGGTGTCTTTGGCAAAAGTCTTTCTGTATCTGTTGCATCACATTTATTTGACATTTCTTCTGTGTTTTCAGCTTTTTTGCAACTTTCAGAGGATTGCTTTGATTTTTGCTTTTTTTTGGTCAGCTCACCAATATCTTTCACACTATGAGAGACTGATTGTGATGAACAAACTTCTTTGGATTGCACCTGACTTTTGTCAGTGTTAAATTTACTTTCCTTATCTTCAGAATTGGAGGAAGAATGCCCTCCATTTGGTTTTACTGCGCTTTCTTTTAATATGTTCTTTTTCAATTGGACTTGCTGGTTTTGCTCCTCTTCATCATCCTCCTCTTCACCAAATTCCAGGGGAGGCTGCCAGTGGAATGTTTCCTTGCGTTTCTGAGTTTTTCTCTTAGCCTTCTTACTTTTGGATTTGGCCTTAGTTCTGTCTGAGTCTGCCTTTGCTGAACTTCGTTTTTTGTGTTTGTGCTTACGTTTGGCTTTTTTCTTAGTCTTGGGCTTTTCACTTCCTGTACTTATGTTGGACCCTTCCACAACAGAGACAGATGGAGTTTTTGAAACAGATTTTATATTAGTATCTGAATTTTCAGATGAAGCATTACCTGATGTTTTGCTATTGAGTGAGATAAGGCCCTCACTTTCTGATTCAGAGCTTGCTTCACCCTCTTCTTTGCCAGATGAGAGTTTAGAATCAGATACATTGCTCTTCTTTGTCTCACCTTCTGTTTCACTTTCTGTATCCCATTTACTCATAGGAAACACCTTTCTGACGCTATCTTTCTCATCAGTCCTATGTGATTCTATGTGCTGTGCCTCAGATGATTTATCTTTAACACTCGTCTTTTTTCTCGAGCTATCACTGTCGCTGTCCCACTCAGACTTAGATTTTTTTTCTTCCACAACAGAGCCAGTGTTTGGTTCTTCATGCTTTGGATCTGCTGTCTGAACATTATCTACTTCTGACAGGGAAGCAGATTTTGTATTTTGGATCTTGGATTCTCTATCATCCTGTTTCTTTCTGTCAATTTCAGCGTTTTCACTGTCAGTAGTAGACTCTGAAGAGGATAAGCTTTGAGTTTCTTTATTTACATCACGTTTTTTGCTGTTAGTCACGTAGTTGTCACTGTCTTTTAATTCAGGACTGCTTACATGAGAGACATGTTTTTCTTTTCTCTCTGAGGAATTTTTCTTCCTTTCATATTCTTTGTATGAATCATATGAATCTGATCTACTGTATGATGAAGATAGACTTTCAGACTTCAGTGGAGAATGTGATCTGGATCTTGAATGACTCCTCGTTTTAGATCTACTACATGACCTGCTATATGATCTACTTCTTGAAGACCTGCTTCGTGACCTTCTTGAGTATTTATAGCTTCTGTTGCTGTAATTTCTTGAATCACTGCTTCTCTCACTGTCTGAAGTTTTGTGCTGACTATGGTGTGATGAGTGATCATTTTCCTTACTACTGCTCACTGTATGACCAGCCTGTACAAGGTTTGTTGGTGCCGTCTTTGCTTTAATTTCTTGAATACGGACATAGGAAGGTTTCCAAGGCTTTTGCCCAGGCTTCCATCGAGAAGGCGGTGGACTATCACTTAAAGGTAAAACAGGAACACTCTCAGACACTTCTGGCTTCACAACTTTCTCATTTTTAAGGGTTGTTAGTTTTGGATGATCCACCTTTGCTTTGCTGCTCTTATTTAGCTTTGCTTTACGTGGGGATCTTGAAGCTGTCCTTCTACGTGATCTTGACTGGGATCTGGATCTGGACACACTTCTTGACCTTGAAGAGGACCTCGATCTTGTTCTTGATTTGCTTCTAGAGTAGGATTTTGATCTGGTTTTTGACCTTGTGTAGGAGTGTGAGTCTCTGGAAGAAGGAGAGGAATGACGCACCTTGTCTGAATCCGACCACTCTTCTCTTGATAAGCGCCTGGATGATGTAGAGAAAGAACGAGACCTTCTTTCACGATGGCTGGAAAACTTGGATATCCTGCTTGAATAGAGGGATGACCCATTTTCCGACAGGGGAGAATCTTTAGGTTTGCTTTTGAGAATCTTGCGTCTCTTTGAATGTTTTTGCTTTTTTGACTTCTTTTTGTGTTTAGCTTTCTTTTTTTCTTTCCTGCGTCTCTTGGGTTGGCTGGATCTCTCAGTGCTGTGATCAGAGAAGCATTCATGAGACCAGGACCTTGACCAAGGAGAAGCACTTCTGTTATCCCATCTGCTTGAATAATGGTCATTCAATCTGTTAAGTCAAAATTAATACCCTCAGTGGAAAGACTGAATTTTAAGACAAACCATTATCTAAATTAACTGATTCCATTAAAGTATACTAAAAAACTACCATGATTAACTCGTTTTCACTTATATACATTTAAATATTGAAGAAAATGAATCACTTAATAAGCTTTTAAATTTTAAATTAATATAATACAATGGTATCCCTCAAAAAACTAAACAGGAAATTGAGAACGTTTAGTAAAAAATATCAGGTATAATCTTAGCACATATAGTTTAAAACATGCTTATTCAACCAGGTGCAAACAATTAAGCAGTTTTGTAATAACCTAGTGGCATAATGTCTAGACTGTACTGTATAATTACACATTTCGCACCACACCTTTAATTGGATGTATACAAAACTGCACAATTTGTAAAGAATGCACATGCAATTTAGCAATTCCATAATAGCATATAACAGCATTACTAACATAATGTTTAATTTGAAAAAGATGGGTTTAGAGACCGAAATTAAACAAGACCCTACCATTTCAAAGAGTTATTTTTAAGAGAGAATTTATAGAGAATCAGTTGCAAATACAAACAACAGTTAATGAGAGAGGTATTTAAACTATTAAGTTGTACCAAATGAGTTAAAAATACTCCTCCTAATGGGTAAAAGGTATGTTTAAAATAAAAATGTAATGATGTTACTCAATATGCTCAAATGTCATACTTGTCTCCTTTACTCCACTTCTCTCCAGTAGGAGGCTTGTATGTCTTTGTTCGCTGCATTTCTTCTTTCCAGTGAGGCGGAGTTTCACTGCTTCCTCCATCATCTTCAGATTTGGAACGAGATCTTGATCGAGGAGGAGTGTGATATCTCTGTAAATTGACACGGCTGTGTTATCTGTACTATCCATGACAAATTGAGGTGTTCCACACTACGCTTGCATTATGCTTCCCTGACTTGAGCACCTTATCTGTCCAGATGCAACATAAAAGGTTTTTGCTTTGTGAAAAAAGTCTAACAATCAAAATGAAAGCTGACATATCAATAAAAATGTGGAGAAAGGGAGAAAAGGACAATTGCAAAATATGTATGTTCTTTTGGGAATATTAAAAGAAATTAAATCTCAAGTTCTTCAAGGTCACACCAAATATGTAAAATAGCTATAAGATTCTTTTGAAACATACATAGCCACTGAGGTTGATAGAGGGTCTCTGAGGTTTAGTATTATGGACAAGAACTTGCAAATACCTTTACATAACTCCTAACAACCAGATGAGTAAATTCAAGGTTATAAAGGTAATTCAAGGTTATACTTTTGTAGGAGCTTGCAATCCCATCTAAAGAGAACCATGGTTTTCATTTAGGAACTAAAATAATGTTTTGACAATGTACTGATTTCAAGATAGTGAGGAAAACAAAGACACTTTAAAGAACTTTAAACCTTATATGCATTTACATGAACTCTTTCAAAGAACTAGCAAAAAAACCTGAAAGTATCTTTTAAGCACAAAGCTAAGAACATATGCTGGACAGTAACATCAATAAAAAATTAAGTTTTAATAGAGAAGGTGCATACCATTGTACCCCGGCCTTTAATTTTACGTCCAGATTTTGTGACTGCTGGCTTGAGATCATTTGGAATTGAAGAATTCTCAAGCTGTGCACTGTAGACAGAGAAAAGAAAATGAGAAAAATATTTATTATTATTTATTATTATTTGAAACAGAAAGTGGTCAGCAGCAGGAGGGCCATGCAAAACCTTAGAAAGAGGCCCCTACAGATCATGATTTGCACACACACTACTATTAGTTCCCAACACTACCTTATTTTATTCTTTAGAATATAGAACAAAAAGTACAATCTTTTTTACTGTACGTTCCCTTTCATACTTTTGTTTGGCCAGGCAGCGTCCAATTTTAGCAGGTGACCCACATTGTGTGTGTACAATTGTGAAAAATGTGAATTGGTTAACTTCTACCAAAACACCTCAAGTAGTCTACATGTCTAGCTTGGAAATGTCTAATGTCTACCATTTGCTAGTTACGTGGATCTGACAGACTCAAAACCAAATGAAATACAATGTATTACATTATTACGCATGCCATGCATTATTACAATGACTTGATTAGGAATACCTCTGTTTTAAGATGGCTTATCCTGCTCTCCTTTTCTGAGCTTCAAAAACACATTACGTACTTGACTATGACTGGTCATTTTTCTGACTGGGCTTCCATTAGGATCATCCACAGCAGCAACAGAAAGAGCCGCTAAAGTGAATTTGTCTCTCACATTTAAATGTGCTGATTAAAAATATGCGGTGCTGCACATTTTGACAAATTCCTAAAACAAGAAATTGTATATAACATCACTTTATTAGCCCTATACAATTTCTTGCATTAGGAATTCGCCTTTTCAAATACCCCAGCTTGCTCTCCATGACATATAGACATGGAGAGAAGCTCGGGGTCAGAGCACAGGGTCAGCCATTGTACAGCGCCCCTGGATCAGCTGGGGTTAAGGGCCTTGCTCAGGGGTCCAACGGAGTAGGATTCCTCTGCCAGCTGCGGGATTTGAACCGGCAACCTTCCAGCCACAGGCTCAGATCCTTAGCCACAGAGCCACCACTCCATCGATGGCCAATAAAGGCCTCGGGTCCCCAGGCAGTTGCCCACTTTGCTTATTGCAGTGGCCGGCCCAGAACAGCAGCAAACATTAAATACAAATGCCTTTAATTGTGCAGGAGATATCAAGCAATTCTACTTACGTCTCAGGTTTGGACACCTGAACTGGCATATCCCTCCGCAGTAAGAATCGGTTTTCTGGCACAGGTGGGATTTCCTCTGGCCGTACCACAGGTTTCTCTCTCTTCATATTGAGATCCTTCTCTTTTTCCTCATCTACAGCTTCATGTTCATAATAACTGCAACAAAGAATTGATTCAGATGATTGATTCATAAATTTTATGTGCAACTGAAAATGATAGAAATTAATTCAATGACTTCTGTTTTATTTCAAAACAACAGTGTACTTATTTGCCAAAATAATCATGTTTGCAATTGAACTATTGCTTCACAGCCAACTCAAATAGTTTGCACAATTCACAGATTATAATCTCAGCCTCTCAGTGACTGAATGTCTGTGCAGATCTTCAAAATGAGGCCAGAGGTAACACATCATTATGAATGGAGCCAAAGGCTAAGTGTTCTACACTCTCTGAAAGGTCCATTGTGGACTGGAACTTACATGTGTGAAACTGGAAAGGTTAGCGCTTAATTTGACACAGCTTGGATGTGAAATACTTAAAGAACTTCCAAAAAATAGGAGTACTTTTTCATTTTTATTTATCATTAAATTCGTGAATTCAAATGTATCACTACTTTACTGGCAAATAAAGCAATTTAGAAGCTTGCATAAATATTCAGAGGATGTGAACCTCAAGTAACATCAAAATTGTTAGCATTATGTTCCATGTTAACAAAACTTAGCCACAATTTGATGTAAACCAATATCATACAAATGTTCAATTTCAATGGATGGTGTAGCATGTCAAGAAACTCTCATTTAAAAAAAAAAGCCTCATAAATATACTGAGTAAAACACATTATGTCCCACAAATAATGTTTTATGAATTATGTAAATGCATTAAGTAACTTCAAGTCTTTTTTGTTGAGTGATGTAAAATATTCTGAGCATGAAAACAGCCTCAGTTAAAAGCAATATATATGTATAAAATGCCAGCAAATAATCCATCAATTTGTTGTTTATTGGTACGACAATTGGGAAAAATTGATACATATCAAATTTCAACATATGTATTTGATCGCATGATGAATTTAATTAGGCATGATTATGATTCACAACACTCACTTTCTCTGGCTTGAAGGATGTCTCTTGGTATGGTTCTCCTTCCTTTTTCCCTCCTTTCTTCTCCTCTTTGAATGCTTGTTCTTTGTTTGCCTCTTCCGTTTACGAGATTTGTACTTCTCCTCTGAGTCGCTATCAGACTCGGAAGACGAAGAAGAGGATGATGAAGAATCTGAAGAACTGATGGAGCTGTCTGATGAATGGGACAAAACCTTTTTCTTGTTTCCCAGCACTACAAGACAAAGATGTTTAATGAGAAGAAAATGCATACATTTTATTCAGTCACACTAAAGAAAAACATCTGTAGACACTGGGCTAATATATCAAATCATGCTTATTCCACAAATTAAATCCCTTTATGTTTAACAATATCATGCCCTTAAATTAGTCTAGAGTTTTGGTCTGGCAACAAGATCCTTTATGTACTACATATATTTCATACCAATAATTGAATACTCATCACAATAACCAAAAATATGTGAAATAAGCATTGAATGCCTTTCGTAATTAGAACAATTCCGTCACCATTATATTCTGTTTTGCGTTCACAGAGAAAAGTTTTTTCCAGTGAAGTGGCTTATAAAGGATATCCAATATTCAATACAGAGGCAAGTAAATATGATTACCATCGGTGATGTGACCATTAGAATCTAGAACACTCTAAAACATTCATATATTTTTCTGTGATTTTCAATGCACTCTAATGCTGTTGGGGGAAAAAAATAAAATTAAGATTGTTATGCTAAGGAGCATCAAGGTGATGCTTTGGTTAGCACTGCTGCCTCACAATGGGTTCAGTTCCTGGGAAGCTTTCTGGGAGTTTGTTTGCTCTCCGTTTGTTGGTGTGGTTTTTCTCTGGGTGCCTTAAGACAGTGGTTCTCAAACTTTTTGGACCAAGTACCACCCCTAATCCAACCAAAGCATCTAAGTACCACCTACAAGTCATCTTCTCATAGGAACCCCAGAAAGTCTCAATGACCAACAAGAGTGTGCATGCACACACTCACACATACATATAATAAATATTATAATAATAAACTTTGTTTGATATATTAAAATGTGGCTTCTCAAAGTGTTTTACAGAAAAAAAACAACAACAAATAAAAATAAAAAAGCACCATTTCAGTAAGATGGGTGAGCCTGTTTAGTCGAGCAAAGCAGATGTGAATTAATTTTTCGAGCCTTGATACAATTCACAACAGTCTTAACAGATTTTAAAGCGTCAGGCATTTTCTTGATGGCAAAGGTCTCGCGGTGGATGTTGCAATGAAACCATTAATTTCTGGAGCAACCTCTCTAATTCGTGCAACTATACCGCTGTGTCGGCTTGTCATTGCTCTGTACAAACTCCCGACACATTTTATCCAGTCAATGCCATTCTCTTCGATAAATTCATTCTGAAGCTGAAATACGTGCTCTCCTGTAGTTCCTGTTGGTAGTGGCTTACAGAACAGAAAGTCCTCACGGGACGTACCGTCAAACTCGTATCTAACGTAAACGAGCAAATTGGCCAAATCGACTACAGACTCATCTAATTGCAGTGAAAAACATCTGCGCATCTTAAAGCGGTCTGTCAGCGTACTTTTGATATAATCCTTCATTTCAATAATTCTATGAATGACTGTCTTTCAGGGGGTGCAGCAGGTTGAGCTGTTCAGCAGCTTTTTCTCCTGCTTTAGCAATCCGCAAGCTTGCATTTTTCCACATTTCTGTTTTTATTTCAGTGTTTATTTTAAGTATTTATTTCATGTGCATGGGAGAGAAACACAGAGACGTTCGGTGTATTTTTCCCAAATTAACTTATAACAGTTCTTAAATATTTTTCTGTTATTTTTCACGCTTTCCTGTGCTTATAAGATTACCAGCATTCATAGCATGCATTTCTATGCATTCCTGTGTTTACAACATTGGCATTGTTCCAAAATCACATACATTCTCCTTTCTCCCTATTTGCTGGAGATACAGTAGCTTTTTTTAAATACAATTGGTCACTTGCATCCGTAGCACGCATTCCTATAGAGTGGTATAGAATTACAGAGTATCTCTTGTGTCCACTGAAGTATTAGCGCGCACTGTATCGTAGTACGTAGGCTGCGTATTCGACACGTATAAAAATACAAAATATAAAAACCCGTCCCGATTTTTACAGCGTCCAGGGTCATCTGGCGTACCACCTGGCGGCACGCCACGTACCACTGCAGGTACGCGTACCACAGTTTGAGAACCACTGCCTTAAGACATACTGGTAGATTTATTGGCTTCTGGGAAATGGTGTGTGTGTGTGTTTGTGTCAGTGTGTGCCCTGTGATGGACCGGTGTCCTGTCCAGGGTGTATCCTGCCTTGTTCCCATTACTTGCTGGGATAGGTTCCTGCTCCCCGTGACCCTGTTTCACGAACTTCAGGACTAAAGGATAAGTTAAATACAATAGCTTTCCAATGCATTTTCCCCATGTACATTTCAATTATAACAAAAACAAATGGTAATGTTAAACATGGCTTCAAAACTATACCAACATTTTTGTACATAAACAATACAAGTGTGGGGAATGCTCCCCCCCAAAAAAGCTATTTATGGGCAGGGAAGCATATAATGGGGTCTTCCTGTATATAAAAAGGGCACTGCAGAAGGGTATGGCACTCTGCAATACAAGAGTGACCACAAGAAACCAAATTTTTCCATGACAGCTTACCATCTGCTAAACGTGTCACAACAGTATCTAATGACATGTCATCAATTGCCACATATGAGAGCGGAGAACTGTGGATCGCACTTCTAGCAGTTAAAAAGTGCTCTCTCTAATATAATAGTATGTGCAGTTTATAGCAGTTAATGAATCCAATAAATCTCAAAGCAGCCAACAGCTTACAGTTTATATGAGCATCACTGAGTAGCAGATCATGTTACAAAATGCCATCCAAATAAATCCATTACAGAGCCAGGATCAATAAGTCAACTTTTACAACAGATATTGCACGCATTTAGTTGGATTACTGAACTGTGTTCTCTGCTGTGCAAGACCAAAAATGATAAAAAAAAACATAAAATTAAAACAGTTGCTATAGGCATGTTGAGCTGATAGTCATTTAAACCCAACATTCATGGTTATTTCACTATTCTACTTCCAAACCAGATCAGGGTGACATTTGGTATTTGGTGATTTTTTTATGTAACGACAGGGAAGCCTGTAAGTTCACACAAAAATGTATGTTTTCTCATTAGTGCAATTTATTTCTAGGTTCATCTGACACTTTATTACACAGCTTCAGGCCGAATTTAAAAGCTTAACCCTTCAACGCTATGATGAACTTAAACACTCTCTTTGTTACTGAATCAGCTTGAGTACTAGTTAAATATTTATAATAAGAAAGGTTAGCAAATATATTTAGTCAGACAGTTAGCGACATTGTCCCAACATGGTGAATCTGATCCCACTGATACAATGCATGTAATCTGCATTGTAGAAAGGAGTTGTAAATGGACTTTACACACCAAGAATAGTGGAGTTATCACTTGCTGATTATAAGTAAAACTGTTTGCAATAGATGATGTGTTTATTGTGTGTGTGTCCGTCTGTCTGGTCTGCTCCCCTTCTATCCAGTACCCATGAGCGGAAGACGTAGCAGGACAGTGGTTCCCAAGGTCCTAATCATTTGTTGATTTTCATTACAACTGTGCTCTCAATCTCCAGTGCTCACCGATGGCCTAACGCAGTGGTTCTCAAACTTTTTGGACCAAGTACCACCCCTAATCGAACCAAAGCATCCAAATACCACCTACAAGTCATCATCTCATAGGAACCCCAGAAATTCTCAATGACCAACATGAGTGTGGGTGCACACACACTCACACATACATATAATAAATATTAGAATAATAAACTTTATTTGATATAGCGCCTTTAAAGGTGGCTTCTCAAAGTGTTTTACAGAAAGAAAAACATTAACAACAACTAATAAAAAAGCACCATTTCAGTGAGAGGGGTGAGCCTGTTTAGTTGAGCAAAGATTTTTCGAGCCTTGATACAATTCACAACAGAGTCTAACAGATTTTAAATCGTCAGGCATTTTCTTGACGGCAAAGGTCACGCGGTGGATGTTGTAATGCGTACATTAATTTCTGGAGCAACCTATCTAATTCGTGCAACTACACCGTTATGTTGGCTTATCATTGCTCTAGCACCGTCTGTACAAACTCAGACGCATTTTATCCAGCTGAGGCCATTCTCTACAATAAATTCATTCAGAAGCTGAAATATGTGCTCTCCTGTAGTTCCTGTTGGTAGCGGTTAACAGAACAAAAAGTCTTCATGGGACATGCCCTCAAACTCGTATCTAACGTTAACGAGCAAATTGGCCAAATCTACTACAGGCTCATCTAATTGCAGTGAAAAACATCTGCTCATTTTAACGCGCTCTATCAGTGTACTTTTGATCTAATCCTTCATTTCAATAATTCTATGAATGACTGTGTCTTTCGGGGGGGGGCAACAGGTCGAGCTGTTTAGCAGCTTTTTCTCTACACATAATACGTGTCAGCTCTTTTGCCAACCGTAAATAAGGTTCTTCAAAAATAGTGTAGCTTACTTGCTTTAGCAATCCGCAAGCTTGTATTTTTTCCGTGTTTCCGTTTTTATTTCCGTATTTATTTAAAGTTTTTATTTCATGCGCATGGGAGCGAAACAGAGACGCTCGGTGTATTTTTCTCAAATTAGAACAGTTCTTAAATATTTTTCTGTTATCAC